AAAAAAAGATATCCTAAAAAAAAAAAAAAACAAACCCCCTTGGGTACCACCACCACCAGCGAAAAGAAATAAAATAAAAAAAAAAAAAAAAGAAAAGAAAAAAAATTGAAAAAGGAAAAGAAGAGGAAAGTGGATTGAGTATCAAACACCTCACAAAGCCAGCCAGCGGCTTAGAGGAGCTGATGTGATACAGGGAATTGAAGTAGGCAAACAGATGATCCTGCATCCATGCTCTGATTCAACTGCAGTTTTTAAGCTCAATATAAGAATTTCTAATAAATCTATTTCCTGGCTATGCAGGACAACATAAGATGATGATAAATCTTTAATTCCTTATTATATCTCTGAACATATTCCCTTTTTCAGTGTTTTTGGTAGCTTATATGAAAGGAATACATTTATCCACTAGCAAAAGCAGACCTGTGCTTCCATATTATACAAATTTGGATTGTATTTATTCCAAACAAAACACAAGCAAATAATTCAGATATGGATGGAAACAACTGCTTTACTGTATCATTTCTGGAGACAAATGTCAATCACAGGGTCATCCAAATAAATTGCTCACAAATTTCAGTGCTGTCACAACATTATGTATTTTCATCCAGTTACACAATCAAGTAGTTACACGGGGCTTGGTCTTAGGAACTCATTGCATTCACACACCCAGAAAAGTACAGGGAAGTTGCATGTGCAGAGAGCTTTCAGATTTGAACACACACGTCAGGAATTTTGCACTGTCTTTCCTAAAAACATGCTAATTTGTTCCCCTTCTCATTCAAATGCCTCTCACAGCATTTTAATTTTAGTGATTTTTAAGTAAATGTATTAGGATATTTTAAGACAAAAAAAAAAAGTACATTCATATTAATGCTGTTTTAAATCATTATTTGGTTATCACTAAGGAGAAAGCCAAGTTTTTCACAGGGAGTTGCCTACCTTGACCTTCTCAGGGCTTCTTCATCAGGATCTTGCACTGCAGGCAAAAAAATGTTGCAGTTAAGAAAGAGAGAAAGAAAGGAATTTGCTTTATGATGAAGTTACAAGTTCTTTAGAAACTTATCAAAAGCCTATCTAAAGGTACATTCATGCTGGCTTTGCAGCAGTAGATTTTGTAAGAACAGCACGAAGAGGAACAGTTCCCTAGAGCCAGGAAAAAGGATGTTAGTAGGAAAGTAGCTATCCCAACTGCTTTCTCATTTGTTTATTAGCAATGTTTCACAGCTGTAGGCAAGGAGTCTACAGAGAGGGCCTGCTGTTTTGTAGAAAACCATGAGAGGCTGCAGCTGATTCATATGAGGAGGAAATACTAAGTATTTCCCCCTCGATGTGGGAAAGGTCCCTGAACTCTCTAGATCAGAAACAAGCTTTGAGGTTAGTGCCGGGTGGTCAGAAAAACATTCCCAAAGTTCAAGCTCCTGTGACATTCACAGTGGATCTAGGTTTAGATAACAGGGCTGATGGAACCAGAGGTTCCATACAACTGATGATCCTTGATTTTTTTTACCCCCAGAAGTCACTTCTACAAAAGACTGTTACAAGAGACAGAAGTTATCTTTTTTTGTAATGAAAGATTATACTACAGAGACTTGATTTGTAAGCAAGAAGAACTATGGGGGCCCAAATGCTGTTTTACCATACAGTCTGTTATACCTTTATGGTGAGACCCTGGCAGATCAAAGAATTTTTGTCATAAAGCATAAGGTGAGATTGAACACTTTGATTTCCTAGTTACGTCCAGGGTTCCCTGATCCTAGCCCTCCCTGGCAATGACTACAAGCTGGATATGAGTCTTCCTTGAGTATCAGTTGCTAATATCGGGGTAAGGAAATAAAGACATGAATCTAAAATCAGGATGAGGGGGATGTTTTGTCATTCCACTTACTGTACTCCGTTCCAGTCATCTGGGCAAGGATGCGGAAAGACCTAGACTGCAGATTGGCAGAACGGCGACTCCAGTCTTCGGATTCATCTTCAGGCTTGTTCTGAGTTTTAAGCACAGCCTGATACACCGGAGAGGCACTGTCTACGTGAGGATCTTTAAGAGGAAGGGTACTGCAATTCAGAAAGTGAAACGTTGTGAAACGGCACACGGCAGCTTTCATCCCAACCTCCCTCTGGTCCTACACCTTCTCATCCAGAATAACAGCACTCCAGAACACAGCTTTGAAAATATCACTTTTTTAAAAAAAATACATAGATCAGTTCTATGTGAATTAAGAATGTTATGGCTCATTCTGTCTTTGAAATGGCCTCTTATCATTCAAATCTCATTCAATATTTAAAACAGGGGGGAAATGCTTGGAAATGTCTGCTCATGATTCCTCAGCCAACGCAGCCACAAGCTTACGGTGGTTAGAGCCATGTGTGCTGGTAAAGGAGAGTGTGCCGGGCAAAACCCTTCATTTCTCTGAGCATTCTTGTCCCATATTGTTTCTTATAAAAACAGCTTCATGTTGATACTGTTTTATGTTATATCTTATTATAGTTTTGGGCCAGTGTATTTTAAGATTGCAATTAGAAATAAAAAACTTATTTCATGATAAAAATATTGTGATAGGCTTTTAGAGCTTTATCTAGGGATGGTTATTCTTTGCCAAACTCTGAATTAAACTTCCAGCTGCCATAACTCTGGATTCATTGCCTACTGAACATGTGAAGCATAAGAAGTCTAGACTTGTACTCAAGACTTGCATACGTATTTTGTATCTGAAATCTTTACCAGCAGAATGTATCTCGGAGTCTTATGAGATCTCTCATCACCTTTCAAAGTGATATATCCAGGAAGAAACCTCTGATTTTGCACACCTAAAGTCAAAGCTATGAAGCTCTGTAGTACAAGAGAAGTAACCACTCTTTGATTTATGATGCAAGCTAGAAACAGACGTAGTAACTTAATAGCTTTTTTTTCCCTGCAAAAATAACTAGTGTGGCATACAGTTAAAATTAAATATTAACAGAGCTGCAGAAATATACACTGAGGGGATGATGTGCACTTGGAGCAGCTTGGCGCCATGACTGCTCTAAATACAAGGTCTATTTCTGAAGCAAGTGATTTATTGTAACAGCTTTAACATGCTATTCCAAACAGAGCCAGCTTCATGAACACCAAGGAACGGCTCTGTTAAAAGTTAAGGGCCATTTGGTCCAACTAAGTCACTGCTGTGAAGTTCCGGGAGCAGTCTTCTGCTGTAAGTTTTTCCTTGGTTCAGGCTCAAAGTTAGTGCTCTCTAAGATACCATTGTGCAGGGAAAATCTACAGAGAAGTTGGGTTTGTGCTTTGGAAGCCTGAGAGGAAGCATCAAAAAGCTGAGAAACGTGTCTGATATCTTACGTACAGCAGTAACATGCACTGTAATAAAAAATACTAGCAGGTAGTGCCTGCTGAAATGCTTTGTTCATATAAAAAAAAAAATAATTCAAATGTATATGTATAGATATGCCATTAGCTCAGAGGTAGTTAAAAAACACTAGAGGCTGGACCACAAATTTCACAGTAGCAATGTGTGGCATTAATAAGACATATTAGTATCCTTATGGTAGATGATTAAGGCAGGAAATGGAGCTTGGTGAATTAACCTTCTCTAGCAGAGTGAAACACACTCATATAAATTGAACTAAATTAATGCAATGCACTGGAATATTTCCAACTCTATCTTTAATGCAACAGGCCTTTCTCTTTTTTTAAAATCATAATTATATTGTAGATGAGTAACTAGGACATATAGGCCACAGCATGGAAGTGTAAAATAGAGCGCATAGCTGATTATGAGCATTTCACAAACCTAAATGTGACAGCTGATTCTTACAGACCGCCTAAAGATGCACATAACCAGGTTAATACCTCTGTTATACCTCTGCTTAATTTAATTTTTTTCCATCTGGGTGTGTATGTGCAGAAATACCATGCATCTTTAAGCATATTACTTTAAATTGATGTTACTGAAAAAAAAAACATTCTTCCCCAATATGTTAGAGCTTTTGAGGGTTTTTCATATTAGAGCCTCAGGTATTCTAGCAGGCTTCCATAAAAAATTGTCCCCCTTTTTCACATCATCATACAAGTCACATCATTAACACTAAAACAAGCTTTAAAGACAGCCAAACCTTTGCATAAGTACCAATATGATTTTTTTTTCTTGGAGTTCATTATAAACTATGGTTTACCATGTGAATCACACCCTGAAGTCATTATTCAGATTTAATTTAAGAAGACAATAAGTAAAATCTGAGGAACAGTGCAGTGTTCTACCCCTAATGTAGACATACAGTGAAATATTGTGACTTCAGATATTAGACTGATTCCAACTGTTAAAAAAATACCTTGAAGAGGTAAAAAAAAATACCAACCCAACAAACAAACAGCTTATGCAGACTGGTAAATTATCCAGCCAAGTTGACTTATTGTACAGGACAGACGAGACTTTAGTTTGTACAATCATATTATTGATTCTGCTACTGGACCTGTTACATCTTAATCCTGATAAAGTTGTTGGATTTATGTCTACTTACATGACTGGTGAATTTGGCTAAAACTACATAATGGAATTTAGAAGATATTTGAGAAAAATGTACTGACCACATAGTCTTACTGCAACCAACTCTTGGTTCTTGGTATATCATAATCAATTGAAACAAAGCAACATAGAGTGAGGAAAGATATAAAGTCAGGGCATTCAAATTTTTCTACATTTAAATTCAAGCATGAGGTCTGAATAACTGCAGTATAAATAATTTATATGCTTTCCTTTGTGTTTTCCACTGTGATCCAGTACGTGTGGGTTATTTTCTAAGTGACATCGTCTGACTGACTGTTAAAACATCACTGATTTCAAGTGGTCAAACTAGAAAATGAATTCTTCTCTTAAGCTTGTCTATTCTTCATCACCGCTAAAAGAAGTAAGCAGTGTTTCCAGCTGCTGTCTACCACAAAGAACAGAAGCCCTTTAGATCTGTGGTCCGAGTATCTCACCATCTCACATACACCTTCTGGCTTCAGGGCTTATCCCTAACGTAAAATGAAAAGCCCAAAGAGGAGTAATTAAGTGCTGAGACCAAATTATAGGCAGAGAATTGAGACAGAATGAATCGGCACACAAATTTGTCTGCTTTTATATGAAAAACTTCTCACACAAATATTTCTGCATTAAGCATAATCTTATCTCTGACTCTCAACAAAGCAAACTAAAGAACATCCTCAGTTTCCACTGCAAATTAAAGTTCAGAATATCACAGAGGTGAAAACAACACCTTAAGGAAATGAGTTACAAGTTTGATCAAATGAATATCAACCAATGGCAAGGCCATTTTTATGCCAGCACAAACCTTGCCTTTGTACCTAGATTAAAAATGCTGTGTTAATTGTAATAAAACAACCTACTGAGAAAACTGTTCAGTCACTAAGTGTTACAAGTTTAACAAAAAGAAGTTAGAAAACAGGCTGTAGCTCACAGAGAGCCCCCTGCACCTGACTGCAGGTAGGGGTAGAAACATGAGTTTCTTCTGGGCCCAGGTGAATGTTGGACTTAGGAATCACTCTCCAAAATGAAGGAAAAGCTTTAACAGTGGTTTATATAGTGGATCTTGCAGAAAAACCTTTTTTGCAACATTACGGGGCAGAACATAGTTTGGAGTTGTCTGCAAAAAAATAATATTCCACTAGAACTGTCTGATACAAAAGGATTAATGGAAACAATAATCTCATTTCAAAAACACCCATGAGATAGGTGGATTCCATGTTCAAAATGAGGAAGAAATTTAGCTTTTGCCAGAGCTTTTGCTGGTGGCGTTTCACACAGCTTTTGCTGCTACTGGTACAACGACTCAACAGTCCATGACAATCTATTTTTTATCTATGGATCCATTCAGTTGTCTCTTTTCAAGACATATGTCTATACAAATATAATTCATTGCCACCTTATGACTTATGATTCAAGCCTTATTCAGATTCTTTACTTGACAATTCTACACGTTAGGACAAAAGCCTCACACCCCTGGGAAGGGCGCTGATCTTCCAGTTCTAGTTGCACTCTTTGGACTTCCCTCACCCTGTCTGGGATTTTCTAGAAAGCGCATTTTCCTCTTCCCACAACAGAGTGGGAAGAGATGCTGGTGTGTTCCAGCCCAGCAGAGCCACTCCTGTGACCGGAACCGCGTTTGAGAGATTCTTTTAATGTGCTGTTTATAAAATTAAAAGGATCCCTGCGCTCTTCATAATTATCTGATCACTTAAATAGGCAAAATTTTTAAACATTAGTATTTCCATTATATAATGTTACAGCATTTAGTAGAAAATGCCATTATATCATAAAATGTCTCATATGATCCAGGCCCACGAAAGATGTGAACCATTATAAAGAGCACAGATAGAAAGAACTTCTTTCATTGTGCTTTGCTTATTGGAAATACGATTCTGCTTACACTTGTGGAGATGCACTGAGCCATGGTCAAAACCAACTAAAGGTATCATTTGGGATCCATCATTAGGGAAAGTTGGGATGAACAACAGAATAATACTGGAGCAAATATTAATGAGAAAAAAAAAAAAAAGAATTGAAAAAAAAGGAACAAAAATGGCCAGTAAAGGGAGCACAAGCAAATACATAAACCACCTACATTTTGAATAAGCCTACAGCTAACATGTTGAAAAGAAACTATGTTAAAGTGTGTTGATATATCTGTATTTTGGTGTCACATGAAAAGAATTAAGTTCTATTTGGGGTAGAAAGGTACCTAATAAGTGAGAAACTTGGCTACCTTCATTGCATGTGTAATGTCAGTTAAATCATAACAACTGTGGATAAGTTTATCAGATGAGATTATCAGAAACATGCACTGGAAAAGCAGAATTATTTAAGATCAATGGGTTTTGCCACAGTTCAGAGGATACGCATAAGACCAACGTACAGTATGTAAACTAGGAGTTGGGACAATACAGCACAACACTCCACTCTGAAGACTAAAGCAGTAGCCAGTACTAATATTTTGGGATCTTCACATGTCAATAAAAATTCCACCCCCCTTCCCCGTTCTGAGTTACGCATATAATACAGTGG